CAAAAACATTTAAATTTCAATTAAAACGGAGAGCGGCGCGGCGCGCCAAAGTGAAGTTGGCTGCGGTGGAAGCTCCTCCTCGGCCTAAAGTGGCCAGGAGACTGCCAACCCACTCCACACCAAGAGGCGCCGCCACAGAAGCCCCCCCCACTGTGATGCACAAATTAGAAAACGGTAGAACAAAAGAAGGAAAATGCGTTAAAGCAGGAAGGAAGAGAGAGAAATATAGAAAAGAGGAATTATGCAGTAGGTGGGAGCGGAGTAATTGTGCAGACAAACAAAGTGGGGCGACGGCAGCACCACGAAGCAACCCGGGGTAATCGCGCAGCGAGCATAAAATATGCAATTTGCGTCAGCTTTCAAGATGTCTAGTTAAAAATGCGTTCAACTGCAGAAGGCAGGCAAAGAAAAAGCCAAAGGGATTGGCTAACAAGATGGCTACGCAAATTTGTAAAATGCGGTGTTGGGTTTACCTTTTGGAATATGTGATTCGGATTAATGCCCAATTCTGTAAATAAAAACAACAACACCATAAGTTGGGCAAAAGTATCAGAAATCAGACAAGAAACTCACCCTCGAGTAATGGTGGTTCATCATCAAATTCATTGCCGGTGCCTGCACCACCGCCTGCTTTGCCCGACTGATCCTGTCCATAGCTGTTTTCCGTATATGCTGTGGGATCGTAGAAGCCACCTAGACCCTGGGCAGGAGGATTTGCATAGGCTGCATCATAATTGGGCGGCACCGCGGCCTGTGTGTTGTCGAAGGTTTGGAAATTGCTGCAAACAAAACAGAATCAACAACGGGTGTTGGGGTCGTGACGGGGCAGAGCACACATCCAACAACTTACAGCTCCTGTCCAAATTCCGGCATATCAAAGTTGTAGCTGGCATCTGGAGATGGCCCAGAGCCATAGAAGTCATTTGGTCCACCAAACTGAGACATCTCACTGGAATTTAGGCACTATTTGAGTTTAATATTTAGGAATAACAACAAATAATAAAGTGCTACACGTCACGGGCGGCGGATTTATCGGAAATATACCGAATTATACCTTCTCATTTTTTAAATATACCGTAAATATACCGAGGAAAGACATGAGCTTAACCCTCTGTAACCCCCTCTACATAAACAGGTAAAAATTCATATTTGATACAAGATTGTCTAATATTAAGGACTCCCTTATAAAGGACTATTTATAAAATAAGCTTTAAAGTCAACACATAATAAAACGTACGTGTGCAGGAAACGAAACGCAAGTGTGCTCGGAATGTTACGTCATTTGAGCACTTGTTGCTTTCGCTAGATGTAGATGTTTTATACCCATGTTTCCTTTTCACCCCTAAAATTTAAATTTAATTGAACCTAGAAAACTACACCGAGTGGGAGCTAACTGTTAACATATCATTTCATATTACGAACCTATTTTGAGATATTAAATATTAGTATCAACCTGAAATTTTTGTTTATGTGCTCTAGATGGACAGCTGAGCGTACAGTGCTGTTAAACGCAATGAGTAGTGTGCCATAGGGTCGCGCATAATTCAAGTTTAAATTTAAATGTATAAATAAAAAAACAACGCGTTTCATATTTGTAACATTCATAATACATTTGTTTTTTAATTCATAGCTCCATTTGCAACACACACAAGTTATTGAAATTAGTTATTCATCTTTGGTAGAGTAGAGAGGTACATGCACTTGGGCTACTTAGTTATTGCGTTCTTTAAGGGTTCCTATAATAATGTATGTAGGAATATATATAATATTATTATAATTTTGTAATGTATTCAACTCTTTTACTTGTAAATGTTAGTTACGCTTCGTAGTTTTTTTTTTCACATAAAAGGGGGAACGAACACAATAATCGATAAATTCATGAAATTTCTCTAACAATAAATAGCTGCGAACTATAATTATATATATCAACATAGATAGATTATAGTACATATGTATCATAATATGTATGGCATATAGTAATCGTATGGCTGGTTTAGCTTCCCTTTTCGTCTGAATTTGTTTTTTTCCTTGTTTGCGCTACCGACTAATTATTGTTCGTCTTTGCCTAATCTTGTCGTCGTCTGTGTGTTTTGTTTTCTCGTGTGTTTCGATTCAGGAGGATAAACTGTTTAACTTAAAAATAAACTTGGATTTCAAATATCTTATTATGCATTATGTATATATGACTAGATTGAATGGGGGGGGGGGGGAATTCGAATAATAACCTAACTTTTTGGGTTCTTATTTCGTTTGGTTTCTCCTGTTTGCCTTGCTATTTTGTTCTTTTAAGCCTGTTTAATCTTCCAGGTTTCGGAAGGCCTGCTGTATATCCTCATACAGCTGATCGTAGTCCGCTTTGATCTTTTGCTCGCCATCCTTCACGGGATCCTAAAGTGAATAGTAAAATGTATTAATGGCAGGGGTTCCTCATAGTCTCTTGTGAAAGAGCCTCTCACCTTGAATTTCATTGAAGACAACTGATACATAATGCTGCCCATCGACTCCCTAATGGTGTTCCATGTGATTTTGTTGTCCGACTGAGCCGTGGACTCCACGGCATGGCGTGACATCTCGTAGAAGGAGAGTATGTTGCGCAGCATGCCCACCGTCTTGTAGAAGGGACACACGCGATCGTATGGCGAGTATGAGTTCTGTTGCAGAAAATCGTCCTTCAGCAGCTTGGCCACCTCTAGCGTCACCTTGTCGGTCTCGGCCAGCGATGCCTTGCCCACCAGCTGCACAATCTCCGACAGATCCTCCTCCTCCTGCAGGATCTCCTTGACCTTGGTACGCAGTGGCACAAATTCGGGGAAGTTCTTGTCGTAATACTCATCCAGGGCACGGGTGTATTTCGAGTAGGAGATGAGCCAGTTGATGGAGGGGAAATGCTTGCGCTGGGCCAGCTTCTTGTCCAGACCCCAGAACACCTGCACGATACCCAGAGTGGCGGAGGTCACGGGATCGGAGAAGTCACCACCAGGAGGCGACACAGCGCCCACAATGGAGACGGAGCCCTCACGCTCGGGGTTACCCAAGCATTTGACGCGTCCAGCGCGCTCGTAGAAGGTGGCCAGACGGGCACCCAGGTAGGCTGGGTAGCCGGAATCGGCAGGCATCTCAGCCAGACGTCCGGAGATCTCACGCAGCGCCTCGGCCCAACGAGAGGTGGAGTCAGCCATCATGGCCACATTGTAGCCCATGTCACGGAAGTATTCGGAGAGGGTGATGCCGGTGTAGATGGAGGCTTCACGGGCAGCCACGGGCATGTTGGAGGTGTTGGCCACCAGGGCGGTACGCTTCATGATAGACTCGGTGACTCCATCGATTTCGCAGGTTAGCTCGGGGAAGTCACGCAGCACCTCGGACATTTCATTGCCTCGCTCGCCGCAGCCGACGTAGATGATGACATCGGAGTTGGAGTACTTGGAGAGGGCCTAAGGGATGGGAAAAGAGACATGGAATCATGCTAGCTCTTCGAGGAATGATAATCCTTCAACTTACCTGCGAGATGACAGTCTTGCCGCAACCGAAGGCTCCCGGGATGGCGGTGGTGCCGCCCTGAACACATGGGAATAGGGAGTCAAGGACACGTTGTCCTGTGAACAGCGGATGATTGGCTGGCAGCTTCTCGGTGCAGGGACGTGGCTGTCGCACCGGCCACACCTGCAGCATCGTGTGTTTCGTGATCTCGCCATCGAACTCCGTCTCGAGGACAATGTCCTCCAAATTGTAGTTGCCCGCGGGGGCAATATAACGCACGGTACCCTTGCCACGCGGATGCACAATCATGCGCTGCTTCACGAGGGTATTCTCGTGCACCACACCGTACAGGTCGCCGCCGGTTATGTGAGATCCCACACGAACATTCAGGGGATTGAATTCCCACATTGTCGTGCGGGACAATGCCGTGGTGTTCACGCCCTTGGGGATGTATATGGAGTTGGTCATCATACCGATGTCCTTCAGCGGACGCTGGATGCCATCGAAAATGTTGCCCATTATGCCAGGGCCCAGCTCCACGGACAGGGGCTTGCCTGTGCGCAGCACGGGATCGCCGACAGTCACTCCTGAGGTCTCTTCGTACACCTGAATGGTGGCCATGTCGCCCTCCAATCGAATGATCTCGCCCACCAGCTCGTAGTAGCCGACGCGCACCAGTTCGTACATGGCAGAGCCGGACATGGCCTCGGCGGTGACGACTGTGGAGGAGGAGACACAGACACAGAGCCGCAGCATCAGTTTGGGGGTCAGTGGGTGAAGGACAAAGGCAGTGACGTCTTACCAGGTCCCGAGACGGCGTACACACGGCCGTACTCGGACTCGCGGTCCTCGTCTTGGAATTTCCTCAGATTGGACATTGTCGATGTCTTTTGTGGGCTCTTCAAATGTAACGGTCTAAAACGGTCGATCGCTAAATGAATTCAAATGGAAATGCGATTTTCTTAATAAACAATAAAAACAAACATTTTCCCCCGTGGCTTTTCCGTACGAGAGAAAATCCCAGATGGCGCTGCTGTGCAGAGCAGCAGCCCCCAGAGCGAAAAATCTTCACACCCCCGCATTGCCCATCCATCGATTTTTCAATACAATTTTCACACATGTCTCAAAGTTGGCTTTCCATTGGTCAAATTTTAGGCGTTAATTCACGATGTACACAATCTGTCATTGTTTTCAAACTGTTGCACTGTCAATTGCTTTTCTTCCTCAGATATTTGCACTATTTTTCATTGTCCAATTATTGTATATACTCACAATTTTTTTTTAGCAGTTCTTATGAAAATTCTCTTACTTTTTTATTCTAGTATTGATCTATCGCGTATCGATGAAAATTCATTGTATAGTTCTGTGCTATCAGCACTAGCGCACATCGATAGTTGCTTGCGATGCATCTCTAGCTGGGATGGTATATTATGGTCGTTTTCCACTACACCTTAACACGAATCTGGCACGACCATACAGTATTTGCCTTTGCAGCATTATCAAAACGTAGTCAACGACGAATCTTCATTTGATTAAAATTATTGTACATTTACTACACGTACTTTTCGGTTATTATTCATATTCATATTCATATAAAAAACAAAACAGTTGAGTGTCATCGATATTTATCCAAGACGATGGTGTCAGCTCTAGAAACCAGCCGGTGTATTTTTGTGCACAGCATTTATTTATTTATTTATTTATTTAATGCTTGTTGCAGTTGTAGATAAATATAATACGGTCGAGCAAGTCAACAAACCCGGTGTGGATAAGTTGCAGGACTCGTTGCAGGATTCGTTTCAGCGTATGTAAAACAGCAAACCGTTTTTAAACGACATTAATTGTGATTCCCATGAAATAGATAAATTCAGGTACAGGTACAATTATTTTAAATTAATAACATTGAAACATTAAACATATTTTATTAATTTAATTTAGGATAAAATGATTGCATACCAAGACCATTACTCCGTTTTAGAAGTGAAAAGTTGTGCTACCTTTCAGGAAATCAAGAAAGCCTACCACAAAATGGCACTTCGTTACCATCCAGACAAGAACAAAGGCGGAGAGGAGCAATTTAAGAAGGTAGATTGGGCCTACAGGGTCTTGAAAGATCCACAAAAACGAACCGAATTTGATCAGATCTACAAACAAAACAAGAAAAGAAGAAAGAAACGGGCCCAACCGGAGCCCCCGCCACGTGGGCCGTTCCTCTAAACCACAATAACTACCAAAATAAATCGGAAAAACCAAAATGGAAAAATCCACCCAAATCAAGCCACGATGATGGCTTTAGGCCGAATTCCTCTAATACCTACAATAACTACCAAAATAAATCGGAAAAACCAAAATGGAAAAATCCACCAAAATCAAACCACGATGATGGCTTTAGGCCGAATTCCTCTAATACCTACAATAACTACCAAAATAAATCGGAAAAACCAAAATGGAAAAATCCACCCAAATCAAGCCACGATGATGGCTTTGGGCCCAATTACTCTTATACCTACAATACATACCACAAGGAATCGGAAAAACCAAAAGAGCCGCCCAAACTGAAAATGGCTTTAATCATCGGTGGCTCTATGGTTTTTGCATATTTGACCTATAAAATTATTCAGAACAGAAGAGCGGCTAGTGCAGCGGAGATGGTTATGGTTGCCATTTCAAAAGACAATATTGTGGAACCGCTTGAAGCAGCTAGCGCCACTATTAAAGGGATATCCAAGATCGGGAAATGGACCACAGGATCACCGAATGCAGATTCTTCATCGACTTTTGCTATATCAGCAGCCATCAGCAAAGTAGGTAGCGCCTTTGCTAAAGGGATATCCAACATCCGGAAATGGACCACTCGATCACCGAATGCACATTCTTCATCGACTTTTGCTATATCAGCAGCCATCAGCAAAGTAGGTAGCGCCTTTGCTAAAGGGATATCCAACATCTGGAAATGGACCACTCGATCACCGAAGGCAGATTCTTCGACATCCTCTGTATTATCAGCTATCGGCGCCGTAGTAAGCTCCACTGCTAGATTGGTATTCGAACTACTCTACGCTGTAACTAGATATGCTAAAATAGTAATCCCAATCGTGGTGAAATTGTCTCTGCGAACATTTGTCCTTCTGGCCAAAGTGAGTGTGGCATTGTTTTGGTTGTTAGTGTGGAGCACAAGAACCCTCATTGACATTGCATTGACCATAGTCGAATTCATTGTAAAGCTGCTTAGGAACTTTATAGGAACTTAGGAATGTTCCTTATATTTCTAAAATAAGTATGTACAGAGTGAAAATTGTTGTTAAATTAAATCCCTTTTGTGGCCAAAAGACTGCGAACTTTTCTTATCTTAATCTTCTTATCTTTTCTTATCTTATCTTATATAGATTCCATATATATACATATGTATATGTATAATAATGCACTTATTTCCCTTAAAAATCGCAATGAAATTTTTTGGTATTTTGGTGCTAGCCACAGACGGTCACACTGTACTGGTATTTCTTGGCTTCGGCTGCAATTTGCCATAAAAAAAAAATAGAAATATCAATAAATTTCACAGTTAGCAAAGTGGTCGGACAGTTTTTCGTGTTGCAGTGGATCAACACGTGTGTAAACATGTGAAAGGATCACAGGCAGCTAGTGGAAAAGTCCTAGACGTGCCCCTAGGGGCAAACAAAAATATAACCTCAAAGTCGCGACTCTTCGGCGGAGTCAGATGCACCTGCTCGGAAATTCCTTATTCCTTCCAAACCAAAGTGTGTTAGCTACATAAACCACCACCGTGTGCCGTGCCACAATGTCGACCTCGTCGGTTGTGCAGAATTTTGTGAATGGGCTCAAGTCCCGGAACCGCAATGTCCAGAACAAGGCCGCCCAAGACCTCTTCCTGTATGTCAAAACGGAGCTGCGCGAGATGTCCCAGGAGGAGCTGGCGCAGTTCTTCGATGAATTTGATCATCATATATTCAACATGGTCAATGCGGCGGACATCAATGAGAAGAAAGGCGGGGCACTGGCCATGAGTAAGTAGAAGAAAAAAAAAATCACCAAAAACGTCTCTGCTACTCCCTACCGTCTCGTCTCCTGTTTTCAGAGTGCCTTATAACCAGCGATGGTCTGACCACCAGAAAAGGCATCTCCCCCTATCTGAATCGCTTGCGCGATCTGCTGCTTATCAACGATGTGTCCGTCATGGAAATTGCCGCCCGTTCGCTGGTCAAACTGGCCAATATGCCGGGCTCTAAGGGCGCCGACTCCTTTGATTTTGACATCAAAAAGGCCTTTGAAATGCTCAGCGGCGACAGACAAGAGGTGCGTACAGTGCGTACCTTTATTCTAGATCTATCCTTATACTCCTTTTTTGCAGTATCGTCGCCATGCTGCAGTCTTTATCCTTCGAGAACTGGCGATAGCCCTGCCCACGTACTTCTACCAGCAAATTCTCACCTTCTTTGAGCACATTTTCAATGCCATCTTCGATCCCAAGCCTGCCATAAGGAAGTCGGCAGGCGAGGCTTTAAGGGCCGCCCTCATTGTCACAGCACAGCGGGAGAACACAAAGCAATCGAGTGAGCCGCAATGGTATAAGATCTGCTATGACGAGGCCAGTGCCAGTTTCAACCAGGATGTGGCCCCGGGCAAAGAACAGAAGGGCATGACTCGCGATGATCGCATACACGGCGGTCTGATAGTGTTCAATGAGCTTTTTCGCTGCGCCAATGCCAGCTGCGAGCGACGCTATACGGCGCTGAAAACGCTCTTCCCCAAGGCGCATCACAATAAATTTCTGGAGGCCAGCAGCCATTCGAGCATGGGCTCACAGCTAAACACCTTTGTGCCGCGTCTGAAGGTACCTTTCATGGACAAATTGGGCAGTACACAGATGCACATGGAGGCGGAGCATCATCACAATGGAATGGCAAAGTTTGCCAGCGTAAGTAGCTAGCAAATAAAATTAAAAATTAATCAAAGTATAAGCTCTATTTTCTGGCTTTTGTAGCACAACGTTCTGGAGTCTGCCTATGCCCATGAGATACTGCAGGCGCACTACACCACCATCTGCGACAATGTGCTGGAGCAACGCTTCTCCAAATCCCCCTACGTGCAGCAGGCTCTGCTACAGATTCTACCCCGTCTGGCTGCCTTTAATCGTGAGGTTTTCGTGGAGAAATATCTGCAAATCTGTGTGCCACACTTGATGCAAATATTGCGCGGCAAGGAAAAGGATCGCACGGTGGCCTACATCACCATTGGCTATCTGGCCGTGGCCGTGGAGAGCGCCATCGAGAAGCATCTGGAGACGATTATGGCCAGCGTAAAGATGGCGCTGCCTGCCAAGGAGTTGGCCAGCAGCAAGCGCAAGGTGCCCGTGGATCCGGCAGTGTTTGCCTGCATCACACTGCTGGCGCATGCCGTGCGTTCGGAGATAGTCAAAGATGTGCGGGATATACTGGAGCAAATGTTCGCCACGGGCCTGTCGCCGGCGTTGACTGTGTGCCTGCGTGAGCTGTCGGAGAATGTGCCGCAACTGAAGTCGGCCATCACCGATGGGCTCATTGGGGTGTTGTCTCAGGTCTTGATGAACAAACCGGCGGCCATACCATACGCCGCCCTGCCACCCATTGCCATTGATGGCTCGCTGATGATGCAAATGGCCGATGGGGCCACCACAGTGCTGGCCCTCAAGACTCTGGGCACCTTTAACTTTGAGGAGCAGAATATGCTGGACTTTGTGCAGCGGTAAGCGGCCCCCTCAAAACAGAATCATTCAATGATCTACTGACTCTTTTTCTCTTCCCTGTAGCTGTGCTGACTACTTCATTGTACACGAACAGCAAGAGATCCGATTGGAGGCTGTGCAGACCTGCACGCGGCTGCTCAAGCTGGCCGTTCAGTCGTCCGAGAGCATGGAGAACTCCAAGACGCTAAGCGACACCGTCTCCCATGTGATTGAGCGTCTGCTGATGGTGGCCATCACGGACATGGACTGCAATGTGAGAATCCGCATTTTACGCTCGCTGGATGAGACATTCGATGCGAAGTTGGCGCAGCCAGAGTCCCTCAATTCGCTGTTTATCACGCTGCACGATGAGATCTTTGAGATACGCGAACTGGCCATGGTCACAATTGGACGATTGTCCTCCATGAATCCCGCGTATGTGATGCCCAAGTTGAGGACCACCATGATTGAGCTGCTGACGGATCTCAAGTATTCGGGTATGAATCGCAACAAGGAGCAGAGTGCCAGGATGCTGGATCATCTGGTGATTAGTACGCCCCGTTTGATATCCTCGTACATGAATCCCATACTGAAGGCTCTGGTGCCGAAGCTGCACGAACCGGAATCGAATCCGGGCGTCATTCTGAATGTACTCCGCACCATTGGCGATCTGGCGGAGGTGAATGGCGGCTCCAACGAGATGGAACTGTGGGCCGATGATCTGCTCTCCATACTGCTGGAAATGCTGGGCGATGCTGGCTCGCCCGACAAGCGGGGCGTGGCCCTGTGGACGCTGGGACAACTGATCAGTGCCACCGGACGAGTGGTCAGTCCCTACCACAAGTATCCAGTGCTCATTGACATCCTCATCAACTTCCTGAAGACGGAGCAGCGTCGCTCCATACGCCGCGAGACGATACGCGTGTTGGGGCTGCTCGGGGCCATGGATCCGTACAAGCACAAGATGAACAAGGGTCTCATCGACAGCCAAAAGGACAACGTGCTGATTGCCTACTCCGATGGGAAGGTGGACGAGAGCCAGGACATATCCACGGCCGAATTGCTGGTGAATATGGGCAATGCCCTGGACGAATACTATCCTGCAGTGGCCATAGCTGCCCTGATGCGTATACTGCGTGACCCCACGCTGAGCACACGCCACACGAGCGTGGTGCAAGCGGTCACCTTTATCTTCCAGAGCCTCGGCATCAAGTGTGTGCCATATTTGGCTCAAGTGCTGCCCAATCTGCTGGACAATGTGCGAACGGCGGACAACAATCTGCGTGAGTTTCTGTTCCAGCAGCTGGCCATTCTGGTGGCCTTTGTGAAGCTGCACATCATCAGCTACATGAGCGACATCTTCAAGCTGATCAAAGAGTTCTGGACGATCAATACGCCGCTGCAGTCGACGCTGATCAATCTGATTGAACAGATTGCCGTGGCATTGGGCTGTGAATTCAGGGACTATCTCGCGGAGCTAATACCACAGATATTGCGAGTGCTGCAGCACGACAATTCCAAGGATCGAATGGTCACGCGAAGACTGCTGCAGGCCTTGCAGAAATTTGGCAGCACTTTGGGCTACTATTTGCCGCTGATTGTGCCGCCCATAGTGAAGCTTTTCGATTCGCCATATGTGCCACAGCAAGTGTCACTGGTTGCCCTCGAGACGATCAATAATCTCGCTTGCCAGCTGGACTTTACGGACTTTTCCTCGAGGATTATACACCCGCTGGTCAGGGTGCTGGACACAGAGCCCGAGCTGCGCGACCAAGCGATGACCACACTCCGTTCGCTGGTCAAGCAGCTGGGCAAAAAGTATCTCGTGTTCGTGCCCATGGTGCAGCGCATCCTCTCGAAGCATCGCATAGTGGATGGCGAGTACGAGAAGCTGTTGAATCGCCTGCAGAACAACAGCACTTTGGCGGATGACTGCGGCGCAGGGGAGTTTGGTCTGCGGCAGGCCAAGATCAAATACAACGAACCCTTTGTCACGGACAGGAACAGCAACAATCGCAATCTGCAGGTCTCCACGAACGTGCTGCGCACCGCCTGGCAGGTGACACGTCGCGTCTCGAAGGACGATTGGGTCGAGTGGCTGAAACGGCTGTCCATTGGCCTGCTGAAGGAGTCGCCCTCGCATGCGCTGCGTGCCTGCTGTTCGCTCGCCCAGGAGTACGACACGCTGCTGAGGGATCTGTTCAACGCGGCCTTCATCTCCTGCTGGACGGAATTGTCGCCGGAGCACAAGCACGAGCTGACGCAGTCGTTGATCCAGGCCCTGCAGGTCACCGATATGCCAGAGATCACCCAGACGATACTCAATCTGGCCGAGTTTATGGAGCATTGCGACCGGGATCCCATACCCATTGAGACGAATCTATTGGGCACCCGCGCCATGGCCTGTCGCGCCTATGCCAAGGCGCTGCGCTACAAGGAGGAGGAGTTCCTGCTGAAAGAGGAGGCCTCCGTGTTCGAGTCGCTGATCCTCATCAACAACAAACTGCAGCAGCGTGAGGCAGCCGAGGGTCTGCTGACCACCTACCGGAACGCAGCCAACGAGCTCAACGTCCAGGGACGCTGGTACGAGAAGCTGCACAACTGGGATCAGGCCCTGGAGCACTACGAACGCAACTTGCACACCGATTCCAGCGACCTGGAGGCACGGCTGGGTCACATGCGCTGCCTGGAGGCCCTCGGCGACTGGTCGGAGCTGAGTCAGGTGACCAAACACGAGTGGGAGGGCTTTGGCACGGAGGCGAGGGCACGGGCCAGCCCACTGGCTGCAGTGGCCGCCTGGGGCCTACAGGACTGGGAGGCTATGCGGGAGTATGTGCGCTGCATACCCGAGGACACGCAGGACGGCAGCTACTATCGGGCGGTGCTGGCCGTGCATCACGATGACTTTGAGACGGCCCAACGGTTGATTGACGAGACAAGGGATCTGCTGGACACTGAACTCACATCGATGGCGGGTGAATCCTACGAGCGTGCCTACGGGGCCATGGTCTGTGTGCAAATGCTGGCAGAACTCGAGGAAGTCATCCAATACAAGCTGATCCCGGAGCGCCGGGAACCCCTGAAGACCATGTGGTGGAAGCGTCTCCAAGGCGGACAGCGGCTGGTCGAGGATTGGCGTCGCATCATTCAGGTTCACTCCCTGGTGGTGAAGCCGCACGACGACATACACACGTGGCTGAAGTACGCGAGCCTGTGCAGGAAGAGCGGCTCGCTGCATCTCTCACACAAGACGCTGGTGATGCTGCTGGGCACCGATCCCAAGCTGAATCCGCGCGAACCGCTGCCCTGCAATCAGCCGCAGGTCACCTATGCCTACACCAAATACATGGCCGCCTCGAATCAGCTGCAGGAGGCCTACGATCAGCTGCGGCATTTCGTCAACACTTACAGCACAGAGCTGAGCTGCCTGCCGCCGGAGGCTCTGAAGCAGCAGGATCAGCGATTGATGGCCCGATGCTACCTGCGTCTGGCCACCTGGCAGAACAAACTGCAAGAGCGTCTCGGCCCGGGGGCCATCCAAGGTGCCTTGGAGTGCTTTGAGAAGGCCACCAGCTACGATCCGAACTGGTACAAGGCCTGGCATCTGTGGGCCTACATGAACTTCAAGGTGGTGCAGGCCCAAAAGACGGCACTCGACAAGCAGCAGGCATCGTTGCCGCCCGGCCTAAACCTCGGCGTGGGTCTGGGCATGGACAGTGATCTGTTGATCATCCAGCAGTATGCAGTGCCCGCCGTCCAGGGCTTCTTCCGTTCGATCAGCCTCATTAAGGGCAACTCGCTGCAGGACACACTGCGACTGCTGACCCTCTGGTTTGACTATGGCAACCATGCGGAGGTCTATGAGGCTCTGCTCTCGGGCATGAAGCTGATCGAGATCAACACGTGGCTGCAGGTGATACCCCAGCTGATAGCGCGCATCGATACGCACCGGCAGCTGGTGGGGCAGCTCATCCATCAGCTGCTCATGGACATTGGTAAGAATCATCCGCAGGCCTTGGTCTATCCGCTGACGGTGGCCTCCAAGTCCGCTTCGCTGGCACGCCGAAATGCGGCCTTTAAAATCCTGGACTCCATGCGGAAGCATTCGCCCACTCTGGTGGAGCAGGCGGTGATGTGCAGCGAGGAGCTCATACGCGTGGCCATACTCTGGCACGAACAGTGGCACGAGGGACTGGAGGAGGCCTCGCGCCTGTACTTTGGCGATCGCAATGTGAAGGGAATGTTCGAGATTCTGGAGCCACTGCACGCCATGCTGGAGCGTGGCCCGCAGACGCTCAAGGAGACCTCCTTCTCGCAAGCCTACGGCCGGGAGCTGACCGAAGCGTACGAGTGGTCGCAGCGCTACAAGACATCCGCGGTGGTGATGGATCTGGACCGTGCCTGGGACATTTACTATCATGTGTTCCAGAAGATATCGCGCCAGCTGCCGCAGCTGACGTCGCTGGAGCTGCCGTATGTGTCGCCCAAGCTGATGACCTGCAAGGACCTGGAGCTGGCCGTGCCGGGCTCCTACAATCCCGGCCAGGAGCTGATCCGGATCAGCCACATCAAGACGAACCTGCAGGTGATCACCTCAAAGCAGCGGCCCCGCAAGCTCTGCATACGCGGATCCAATGGCAAGGACTACATGTACCTGCTGAAGGGTCACGAGGATCTGCGACAGGATGAGCGTGTGATGCAGCTGTTCTCGCTGGTCAACACCCTGCTGCTGGACGACCCGGACACGTTCCGTCGCAATCTGGCCATCCAGCGGTACGCCGTCATACCGCTGAGCACCAATTCGGGCCTGATTGGCTGGGTGCCGCACTGTGATACGCTGCACACGCTGATACGCGACTACAGGGACAAGAAGAAGGTGCCGCTCAACCAGGAGCATCGCACCATGCTGAACTTTGCCCCGGACTACGACCATCTGACGCTCATGCAGAAGGTGGAGGTGTTTGAGTACGCCCTGGGGCAGACGCAGGGCGATGATCTGGCCAAGCTGCTGTGGCTCAAGTCGCCCTCCTCGGAGCTGTGGTTCGAGCGGCGCAACAATTATACCCGCTCCCTGGCCGTCATGTCGATGGTGGGCTACATCCTCGGACTGGGCGATCGCCATCCCTCCAACCTGATGCTGGATCGCATGAGCGGCAAGATTCTGCACATTGACTTTGGCGACTGCTTCGAGGTGGCCATGACGCGCGAGAAGTTCCCCGAGAAGATACCCTTCCGACTCACGCGAATGCTGATCAAGGCCATGGAGGTGACGGGCATAGAGGGCACCTACAGGCGCACCTGTGAGAGCGTGATGCTGGTGCTGCGACGCAATAAGGACTCGCTGATGGCCGTGCTGGAGGCGTTTGTCTACGATCCTTTGCTCAACTGGCGACTCCTCGATGTCGATAAGAAGGGCAACGATGCGGCGGGCGCGAATGGCGGTGCCGCGGGCCGTGGCGGCTCTGGCATGCAGGTGGGCAATAGCGGCGACAGTTTAGGCAACTCTGTGGAGGAGTCCCTGCCCATGGCCAAGTCGAAGACGTACGAGGCCCAGTTGCTGCTGCAGCAACAGCAGCAGCAGGGCGGAGGAGGTCTGCACAACAACGTGGCCGATGAGACGAACAGCAAGGCCAGCCAGGTGATCAAGCGGGTCAAGTGCAAGCTCACTGGCACCGACTTCCAAACGCAGAAGAGCGTCAACGAGCAGCAGCAGGTGGAGCTGCTCATCCAGCAGGCGACCAACAACGAGAACCTCTGCCAGTGCTACATTGGCTGGTGTCCGTTCTGGTAAAATCATCCGACTGAGCGAGAACCTACTACTACTAATTCTAATAACTAAACTCGACAATTTTCTTCTTCTGTTCACCGACGACTCCGACTCACACACACACGTCCATTTGGGTTACTTGAGGGGGTGTGTGTAGGTAGCTAGCTTCTAAGTTTATAAATATTTGTATAATTTATGTTAGAGATTCATACGCTTCATTATCTTTTTATTTGTGAATTCAATTGCAAATAAATTCCAATTTTGTAAAAATCATCACAAAAAAAAAAACCACAAAAAACCCGCGAAACGATTTGAAAACAATTACAGTCGTGTGTTTGATAATTGTGGCTATCGATGCTCTCACATCACTACTGTTTTTGGGAAACAATTTTCCTTTTTGTTTGTTCCAGCGGAATCCCGATCCGATTCAGGATTCAGGAATTATTGGTATAGATAAATTGTGAATTCGCACAAAATCGTAATTATCTCCAGCACATGAATAATTAATTATATTATGTGTACAATTATAGAAGGTAGGCATTATAGACACTAAAACTGCACATTAATCTAGGTCCTAGGGATAGTTTTTTGGGGGGAGGGGCCGCTTATCTATTATTCCGCTTGCCGCGCTGCTCCTTGCGCCAGGCCTCGATGCGGTGCTTCAGCTCTAAGTTGGCCACCAGCATATCCTCGGTGAGCGGCTGTCGGTTGAACGGATCCGTGCAGCTATTTAATAGATGGCGTGTGATGATGGCCCGGTCCATGACAGTGCCCGATGGCAGCACCACAGGATCCGACATCAAAGTATCCATCAGCGGATCCTTGAACTCATCGGGGGCATCAGCGCATTCATCTTCAGTCTGTTGGTTGGTTACTGCAAAGGCAAGAGGGTGAATGAAGTTGATATTTATAAATTGCCTCCAATTAGTGTTGATTCCAAGCGTACCGTAGATTTCGTGGGCTCGCTGTGTGAGCGCCTTGAAGCGCTCCACCTCGACGGCTGAGCGTAGCGCCAGGCGCTTGATTCTCGACGCCGCCTCATTGCATATGTGCACATCGAAGGAGCGCTCGTCGGCGGCCAGTGCCTCGGCGAATCTATCACAGTCCAGGTGGAGATATATATCGAAGATTTGGGCCAGCAAACTGCGCGGCTCCCAGCCGTACTTTGCCGGATTCTTAACCTTCAGGTCGTTGCATTTGGGGCCGGCTAACTGCTTCAAATTGAAATTCAACATTGAACTGAGTCGATCCACCAGCTCGGCGCGCATAAAAGGCTCCTTGATGTCGCTCTGGAAAAGAACACAAAATATTTATTAGGCGTCATAGAGCTCTCATGGTACTGCTCTTTCCACACTCACTGTCAGATAGTGAAACAGATCGACTGTCTCGCGTGCGAGCGTTAAATACGAGCGACACTGCCGCTCATCGGTGGCCAGTTGGGTGAGGCGACTCTGCTGCTGATCGGCGGTCATTTTGGTGAGGCTCTGCTTGTCCGACAGCAGCTGCTGCGTCTGATGGATGCGCTTCAGATTCTCTAAACATTCGTCCAGCAGGAACGTTGTGTCGTTCATCAGCATATTGACGAATTTAACAAACTGATTGCCCACCCGCGATTCGCAGATGACGGCCTGGCGGTGGATGGGATTCTCCCACATTGATTTGAACAGATGGCTAATATGGTATCTGTAAAAAAATAAGGCAAGCAACACGGGATTGAGCAAACAATTTGAGTTGGAGAGGTTTAAAATGCTTAAATTAATTTATTTCCGTTTTAACGGATGTTATCGAAGCTTGTTATCGCACTCAAATATTGTTTATGAGGGTGAGGACTATCGCAAAGATAGATGTATCGATCGTGAGACTATCGTACTTATTCCAATCGATTAGGGGTACTACAGTTTTAGTTGATTGATTGAAAAAGGAACACTTACCTTATGGTAAACTTATCGTAAAACTCAGTGCTTTGACCCGTTGTCTCCACATCCACATAGAATCTCATTAGTGCGCTGACCAGGGCATTCTGTGCCAGCTCATGGTTCCACATCTGCAAAAACAAACAAATGGATTCAATCAGCACTCAATGAGAGGATTCTGTTAGCCATGTACTCACCGCTGTATTCACCGAGTTGGCTGGCTTCAAAGAGAACACAAACATCACCTCGACCAGCTTGGCAGTCACATAGGGATTCTTAATGAGATGCGAGGCACAAACGCAGGTCAGCAGCCATGTGATGATCGAATGATCGATGCTCTGGCGTATGTCCACATTGGCATGCTGCATGGTGAACAGAATAAACTCGGCAATGTCATCGATATACCACTCGGGCAGGGCGGAAAATGCATCTGTGGCCTTCAGCGTTTGCACTGGCAGCTTGGAGATGAACGGCCCCACAATGGCGCGACCCTCGAACTGGTAGAGCATAAACTCGCACACCGTCGAATAGAACTCCGTGCAGCGCTGTAGCAGGGCTGGATCTAGGAGCGTGATTTCACTGCAGTTTTTCGAGCTGCAAGGCAAAGGTATCAAAATTGAATATTGGACAATAGACAACAGCATGTGGCTGGATGGATGGATGGGGCTTTCCTACCGATTGAGCTTGCGTAGCTGCTTCTCCCAACGCTCCTTGAACTGATTGTTGCGCGTGGCATATCGCGAGTTCACCCAATGCTGCTTGGTGCGATCCAGCTCGTCGATCAGCTTCTGCAGCTCCTTGATGGCACGCATCTTCTGGCGGTAACGCTGAATGGCGGGCATATAGCCCAAATGGTGGGCCTGGAGGGTGAGGAACCAGCACTGCGTCTGGAAATTTATCTCCTTGACGGGCTCGCTGAATTCACGGCCCACGAAACTCTTGTACTCCTCCTCGTTGTAGCGTATCTTTGTGTCCTGTTCGATGCTGACTTCGGAGTTCTTCATGTAGTGATAGTTGGGCTCAATCCGATCCAGTTTGATCTTCACGGACAGATGCTGCAGCACACTCATCAGATTGATGACAAAACCATCTCGGGCCAGCAGCTTCTCGTCGCTGGCAAACTGCACACGACGCTCGTTGCGCCGCAGAATGTTGCCAATATACTCGAGGGTCTTTGGACGGCTGCTGGCATTCACGCACAACGAATGGAAGATGCCGTGCAAATGGGTGCGCATCTCATGGAGTCCCTGCAAAGAAACCATAAGACAAATAAGCTAAGGGATGGTGGGAGAGTGGCTGTGGACACATACCCAACGTAGACGCGAGGCCATAGCATCCTCCACTTTGTTCTTGGTGGTCTCCGCAAACTTGACATTCTCCTCGGCAAACAGCGAGACGGAGAGAAATGGTCCCAGGAAACTGCATTTGACAATCTCTCGGCCCGAGATCTTTGTGCAAATCGGTGGAATAAAATTTGGCTGACGGGCCACGAGATCGGCGAGGGGCCGCACAGCCCCCACCTTGATGACCACCAGCTTGGCCAGCCATTCGATTTGTAGTAGATTGATTTTTGCTGTGCAAATGTTGCGCTGCATCCCGGTGAATAGGCCACGCAGCACCTGGCCAAAGATGGTGTCGAACGCCTCCAGACCCTCGTGTGTGTGGGCCACAATATCGATCAGGAAGGACTCGCTCACCTTCTCCATATACATGAGCTCCAGCAGAGCCGACTGATCCAATTGCCAGTTGAGATTCTGGTGAATGCGATCCGTCAGCACGAGCACCGTCATGCGCATTATGTTCTCAAAGGCCAATTGGAGGGCCGGCTGGCTGGCGGCCGTCTTTGTGACACACTCGGACTGATAGTTGTCATAGCACTTCATCAGATAGAGTATGACGCTGTGCTTGGTGGTGGTCACAATGTTCAGCACTGATGGGGCCAGACACGAGCTGGCATCGCTGCTGGCCGTTGCCTCGCTTTGGCTGGAGGTGGGCGCCTCCTCAATGGTCGATGTGGAGGCCATTGCATTGGCCATGATCTCTTGCACCTCAGTGTCATCCGATTTGATCTTTTTGGGCGTTGAGAACTCCATGTCATCCACCAGACAGGCACTGCCCTCGCCCAGCTCATCGTTGTAGATCTTGAGGGCCGTCTCCATGAGGACATTCGAGACAATGAAATCAAAATCGAATCGCTTGCTGGGATGCTGCTCCAGGAAGCTGGCCGTTTGGGCACATATAATGGAGCCGCTGCCAAACTCATTCCATGTGCAATTTAGCAAACGCGACAGCAGCTGCTCGTTCCGCTCATCCACGCTCTTGGGCGAGGAGCTGCCCCCGTCTGAGGAGGCTGGCAACTGTTTGTTTGCCAATTCCCGCTCGGGACTCACTGTGGACGCTTTGGTTGTCTCGATTGCTGGTCTCACAGCGCGTTTGGTGGCCACCTCGCTGGGCAGACTGAGAGCTGGCGCCATTTCTACGTCCTGCATGGGCACCACGGACTTCATTTCGACATCCATATCATTTTTGCTGCCCAGATCCGGCCAGGTGGACGACTCTGAGTCGCTGTTCGTGGCCTCGCGCACCAGGCGAGACTCGCCAGAGACATTGGTCTGCTTCCTTGAGGCCTTCTCTGGGCTGGGAGCTGTGGTGGCTGCTGCCAATGGAGTTTGTAGGATGCTTCTGGCGGCCAACGTGCGTAGACGACGCTCGCGCATCTGCAATTGGAAGAGCCAGATTAGAGTCTGTTTTGCATGCATGCAGGTAGGTGAAAGTTCAAAGGGTTACTTGCCTCCTCTGCTGATAGCGTTATGGGTATGGGGGGTGTCTGCGCCTGCTCTTGTGGCGGCTGATCTTCTGGATGGTGGTCCTGTTTGGGCAGCAATGGGGGCTGCTGGGGCTGCTCCTGCTGCTGCAGCGGCTGCAGTTCTTCATCGTCTTCTTCCTCCTCCATGGGCTTCTGGCGCGGTTCTTCTTCCGGCATTGCTCCTTCCTTACTTCCTTCCTGCGCAGTTGCCTAAAGTGTATGCCTATTTGTTTTCCCTTCTGTGTTTCTGTTTGTTTGTTGCGTAGTTTTTCCTCCGCCCTCCTGCCAAATGAGTTATCATGTGGGTTAATGAACCAAACAACACAAGAAAGCGGGACGTGAAAAAAAAAAGAGAACAGCAGCTGGCGAGAGGCCGAGAGAGTGGGCGAACCATGCTCTCTCTCTCTTACGGGACAGCCGCCGCCTCGCCACGCGCATTTAACAAATAAATAAAAAGTCCAGCAGCAGCAGTCAGGCAGGCAGCGGTCAACGTCAAGTTCAAGACGAGACAATGCCGCCGCATACCGCAAATGGATAGATGGATTGGCCAGGCATTGTTTCTTTGTCAGCTACTACGCACTTGAATGATGCGTAGGAGGCGGAAGGAAGGATACATGCTCACGCGGCTTGCAGCGTGATATACAGTGGAATTTAGGGTACAGGATAACCTGACCTGCCACAAACAGACTGCCGTGGCAGTGACAGCCACAGCTACAGCCATCATTCGGTGTCATTCGGGTGCGGGGTGCGCACAGATATGCGCTGTTGTGGCAGCAACTATTTATAGACTGCAGCCAGGCAGGGGTCGGTGGGGAGGGATGGGATGTGATGGGTTTGGTTCGGTTGGGATAGGGGGATTGTGTGTGGATAGGATAGGGGGGGATATGGATACAGCAAATTGCAGTAAACAATTGTATCATAGCATATGCGAATCGGCTGACACCCTTATATAAGTGATAATGCAAAGATAAGCCATCGACACATGCCAAACAAATTGATTTGGGGAGTATATCCGAAAAGTTATCTGCGCATTTTCCCTACAGAATACAGAATGTACACATACGCACATACATCCCATTTGAGATTGGTGGAGGATGGTGGTGCTTACTTACTTACCTGTCTCGAAATCAGACTTTCACCTGCTGCTGCCACGAATTCGAATTCGAAAACAAATTGTTTATATCTGAATTTGTTTAGATGTGCATTTTATTGCTGCTGGGCTCTGGGGGCTGTGCCGCTCGCTGCTGCGCTGCTGCTGCCTCTCCAATGCAGATTTTCGACAAGAACGACGACAGACGACCGACCAAGAACGACAACGATGACGGGTGACCACGCAAAAAAAAAAATTTCTTTTGTTCCGATTTGAGGCAAGGTTAACGGTGTGTCTTGCGTTTGCTATCTATAATGCCTTTGCAACGCGGCAATTACCAGATCCAATACGTATTCCACGAGCAAACCTGAGCTGTAGACGTCCGGAGGCGTCAGTGTATTTTAATTTTTAATTTTAACTTTTGTGATTTTGCCATTTTGGACAACAGAACTGCAAAACAGTGTGACCGCGGATTTGTCGATAAAATATACCGTCTGACCCTCAAAAATATACCCAAATATAATGTAAGATACAGTAAATATACCAGGGAAACTCCTATTCCTCAATTTAGATATTCGATTTAATTTTACAAGCTAGTTGGGACTCTCACCACTAAACATATAATTTTAACAAATAGATTAGTATATTTTCTACAATCTAGCTTATTTTAAGGACTTCAAATCGTTGTATTGCTTATGAAATAAGTTTTAATCCAAAAAGCTCAACAAATGTTTATATTTGTACATGATAACTACACGGTAACTACACATTTGCTACATATCCCCGAAATACGAACGAAATTGAACTTATGTTCATAAATGTAGTGACAATTTTTGCATATCTACTAAATATACAAAAACAGATCATGAAATCGATCATTGCATGGATGATAAATGAAAATCGTCCAAAAAATATACATTGTTGAGGTTTGGTGATGTTAATTTGATCCTTGTAAAAAGCTTTGTTGTTTTTTTCTATTGTCCTTGACATGGCCAAAGAGATGTTTTTTAAACTAAATTTCGCTCGCCAACTCATTTATTACTATTAATGGATACCAATTATACAGATGGGACTCCTGAAACTGTTTATGATACATTTCGACTAATATCCTGTAAGCCTGCTATTAGTTTAAATTTTGCTTCAATTTGATCTTAAAATTAAGCTTTAAATATTAAAATCTGTGGAGATAGACAGTCTTGAAAAAAATCATCTATAAAATATCCTAGATTTAAATATCAGCCAACTTTTAACATTTTATACCAACCATCTTATTGTATTTCATCCAGATTTTATTGTTTCCCTCTGGCGGAGTGAGCGAGATGGTAACAGCTTTAAAGATTGGATATGTTGTACGTTATGTACAGAGTACCGGGTAAAAATATTGTCATACAATGTCACGACTGGCTTTTGGGCTGTCTTGAAATGGGAAGAAGAAAAGAGAGAACAAAAAACAAGAAAAGGAAACTACGACCACTAAATGATTTAATATAATGGGATCTAATTCCTTAGATGCATTATTGGTTTTTGTTCAACAAAGGAAAATCAGTAACTGCATATTACAAAAATTTTACACTTAAGTGGAACTTATTTCAGAACTTAAAATCTAAGCAGCCACTACTAGAAATCCGTATAACGCTGTCGCATGGTCTGTCGCTTGGCAACGTGATGCATCTGCAATTAAAATATATGTATATTAGAAAATAGGAAAATGCATTGAGCAGACGAGAGACGAACCAAACGCTGTTGACGCTTCTCGCGATTCTTTTCGTACTCCTTGAGGAGCGTCGGACACATGCGTCGAATGAACTCTTCAGATTCCCAAAAGAGACCGCCCTGGTTCTCATAGCGCAACAGATATTCCACCTGCAAATCAAGTGATGATGTTAACTATTATTAATTTACGTGGAATAATCTTTTTGACTTGCCTTTCCCGCCTTCGTTTCGCGTCCTAGTACACGTTCAATGCCATTTTCTGGCTCAATTTTCCTATAGAAATCTACATCGTTGTCGTACAGGTCCATCGGGACCACCGGGGGCATATCATCGACGGTATCGAAGCCATCGTTTAGTGTATCTCCGTTTTGTTCGGCTCGACGAACAAACGTGAGCGGATGCTCCTTTAGGTAGTCCTCCGCCTCGGCTATGGTCTTGGCCATATCAAACTCTTCTTCCGGCTCCTCATCATCCTCATCACACTCGTCGTCCTCATCGAGGTCCATGCCATCACAGTTTGCACTAGAATCCGCTTCGCTGGACTGGGGTGAACGCTTTTTCTTCGCCCAAGTGCCGCCGTCGTTTTCTTTGACATCGGGATGGAAGCGAACTTTTTTTACACGCCGCTCGGAGGAGTCGTCTGTGGAGTTGTGAGACTCTGTGTCGGCAGCGGCATCACCTAGGCTGCTACTACTGTCGCCAGCTGCAGCACTGGCGGCGTCGCTTGTGGCCGCATCATTTGTGGCTGTGTCGCTTGTGGCCGCGTCGCTGGTGGCTGCGTCACTTGTGGCCGCGTCGCTTGTGGCTGCGGTGCTGGTGGCCGCATCGCTTGTGGCTGGGTCGCTTTTTGCCACTGGCTCGGCCAGTGTGGTCTCCTTGAGGTTCTGTGAGATTTGTTTGACTTTCGTCTCGAAGGCAGTGCACGATACTATTGAGGAGGGGGACGTGTTGCTGCTGCAGTTGCTGCTGGCCCCCGTCTGTGACGAGCTGTCGCCGTCACCCATACTGGACACCGCATCAGTCTTTTGTTCAGCCTGCTGCTCTCGCTGCATCACCCCCGTTGGCGACGGCGATGCCGATTTGTCGCCCATATCCCGTGCAGCGGAATCCCGGCTGCAGTTGTCCGACTCCTCGCCAACTGTCGGCCCAGTCGCCATCGCATCGCTTGTCGTCTCGACCATCACGCACTTAATTTGCATAGATTTGTCCAGCGAATCACTGCCAGCTGAATCATCGTTGGACTTGGTATCCATGTGTGTGGCAGGTGGGGATGTCTTCGAGTGGTTTCAATTAGCCCGGATAACGTTTTCTGTGTGATGTTACAGTAGAATTAGGTGAAAATGCATCGCAATTCACAATTAATCTTTCATCAAAATAGTTGGCTAGTTCATGAACGAACGGATAAAAAGAACTACTATTCACTCAAGTGAACGAACTAAATGTTCACCTTAACCCACTAAACCCACCATATATTTAAACAGATAAGCAACTTGAGTTAAAACGCGAAAATAATACTGTTGGTAAATTCTACTTGTAGATCCATTCTTCCTCTTTACTAACAAACATATTGACTACGATATGTTTTACCTGCATGTACGATAAAATTCTTTAAGTTTAATAATTTACTTGGATATCTGGTTCAATGTGGGTTAAATTTTTTTCTTTGTTTATGATCGTAAATGATATTTCTCCGAATTTAATGTTCCGTTTAATATTACTAGCTAGCTAGTACCTTTGGCACTAAAAAACTATACTGTATCCAATAAAATAATTAATTTTCTACCAGATTGGTTACACTCAAGTACTTCTTTTTTGTGGATTGTTTATAAAACATGGCTGAAACAAAAATGTCTGCAAAATCTAATTTTGTTTGCTACATGGTAACTACACAGGGATGAAATATTCACGGGAGGAACTTGTATTAAAACGGAACTGAAAACATAAATAGAACTGGAACTGCAAGGTTGCAATGTGGGTTTTAATAGGGCTGTGATGCGATATATCGATAATAAGATCATTTAATATTTAAACAAATCAAATCAAATATCTTCTAATGTTTTCTTCATCAATTTCACCAAGCTATAACAACTATCAATGGATTTCGATATAAAGATTTTTTAATTCGTTTAATTTTAAACATTAAGTAATTTTGATTTACATTATCTTTATGTATAGATTATTATATATGGTTTTGGTCCATTTCCAAAGTAAACTTTTAAACTATATACATTTTAGGCTTTAAAAAAATATTTATGATTTTGAATATTTCAATTGTAATTAATTAATTTATAAGGGGGAGGCCCCTATTCTAATTAATTTTATAAGAGATAGAGAGCGATAAATTGTAAATGCAACTTGTGTATTTTTTAAAATTTGATTTCTTTATTAACAACTGTTGTTTTTTGTACATTTTTTTTCTCTTTTTGAATTTGATGCCATAAATCTGTGTAGGTGTGTAAGTGTATGTGTGTGTGTGTGTGGGTGTGTGCGCGTAGTAAACAAAACTAATTTAATTAAACTATTTTTTTAAGTGTACTTTTAATGTTAGAGACTATTTTAGCATATATGTATATTGTGTGTATAGATATAGATATACCCTATATATAGATGTATATATGCATATCAAAGGCGGTTGCAGTTTTTTATCCAAGTGTAAGTTACTTCTGGTATACTCTTTTGTCACTATTTTATTTATTTTTTGATTTGCTTTCGTTTAAATGTTGTTTCTCGTTAAACTATTTAAATATGGCCCCGCTATTCCACAAGTGTTCTTTTTGTTTGCTTAAAGTTTATGATAACATTTTTTGTTTGTTTCTTACATTGTTTCTGTTCAAATAATAAGTTCTAATTTACAATTATAATGATAAAAACAAAAACTATTTTAGAGTCTAGCGAACTAAATTCCTAGATGTAACCATTTTTGCTGCTGGCTTGCTTGTACAAAATAAAATTGCAAATATTGCAACAATTTTTACTATTTTCTTCAATTTGATATTTGAATTACTTGCATTTGCATTGTATTGTAGCAGCAGTGTGTAAATATATGTATATATATGTATAGGTTTTTTAGATTTATATAGTATGTATATAGTACCATATTCATTGCATGATATACGCTCTGCATTCTTGCATTCCTCTTCTTTTTTTTTTACAATTATCAATAATCACAGTTCCCATTAAAAAAAAAATAAAAATTATATTCAACAAAATGATGTTCCAGCAAGAATTAATTTTGAATATTTTTTTTCTTTTCAATTTTTTGATTCTAGTATTCCCTACACAAATTGTATGATTTCTTTGAAACGCTTTTGGATCTTGCTCTTTGTTGGGGTATATATCTTATAAATTTATCTCTAATCTTATGCGATTATAAACGTTTATAGTTTTCTCTCTTTTTCCTTGATAATTTAAATTACTCTTAAGTTATATTACATTTTGCACCGTTCTAGAACATAATCATTATCAATGAAATAAAATAAAAAAAAAGAAAGAAAAGTTCTTCCATCCCAGGCAGATCCCCAAAGAATTATTCGAAATTGTTGCCTGTTGATAAATATGTAAATGAATTTGTGGGTCTGCCCGAAAGACACAAGAAGAAGTGTTCTTACAGTTCGGGTATATTTGTATGCATGTAGTATAACTAGGGATAACTTAGGATCTAAACCAAAGTTTTAAGTGCAGGAACATGTTCCAACTATTGTACATATCGCTGTGTGTATCTGTGTGGTGTGTGTAGGAGTGTGTGTTAGTGA